GGCAAGGCCCATGGAAAAGGTCTTGCCACCCCCGTAGCCTGCCAAACTGACTGAAAGGTGATAGGGGCTCTGGTCGAAGCCATCGTTTGCGCGGCCTCTACTATCTCGCACCCTCTCGTCCCGCCCCACCTTCACATGAGATAAAAGCGTCGCCGCGAGAGGATGCGTCGCCGCAAGAGCGCCCATGCGGTCAACACTCATCGCGCGCTGCATCGCGCAGTGCTCTGGACAGGAAAGAGGCCCAGTATCATGCACGAGCAGCGCGGACTCTCCCAACGCTGGCTGGGCGCACGGAGGAGCTCTCCGAGACATGGGAATCAAAACTAAATCGCCAGCAAACTTCCCGAACCTCGTCCGCGAGTAAACCCCACATCGCACGGAGCGCACGAGGGTGCCAGCACCGAGTCCGTCCGACGGTTGGACATGCTGCAGCGGCTCCCCAACATAATATCTTGCTGAACGCTCCCTCTTCCACCGAAGCACACGGCTGGTCAGGTCGTCGTCCTCGGCGCCAGGGGCAGCCAAGTCACAATCCCCTGCGCCAGAGGCAGCCGACCTCTGGCCACGCTTCCCCATGATGACGCGGGCGACACGCGCGAGGGCGGCAGCCAGGGGGCAGGCACCGCCGCAGCTGCACGGTCGAGCGGCTCAAGCCTACAAGCGCTGCGACCAACGGAGCGAGGACGGCGGAAGGACAGGAGAGGCCCGCAACAGGAGAATGAGCGAGGCGGCTAAGAGCGGGAGGAGCAGGAGAGAAGAAGGAGCAGCAGCAGCAGCTCAGCAGCATTGACAATGAGGAGCAGCAGCAGCAGCATGGAGGAGGAAGCAGCAGCTGGCAGCAGCAGCCGCAACAGCACCAGTGACGAGCAGCCTGTGACAGCAGTGAGGAGCAGCAGCAGCAGCAACAGCAACATGAGCAAGACTTTCTTGCGCGCGGAAGGAACAGAAACCGCGAAGCAGTCGAGGGCGCCGCCGCCAAAGAAGAAGGAGCGCCAGAGGCAGCTGCAAGGCAGTGCATTCTGAAAGGAAAGAAGCGCCAGAGGCAGCTTGAAGTCATTGCACTCGCGCTCACTTCGCCCCTGCCCTTTTATTATTACTCTCCCTCTTGTGCTTGTGGACGAGGATGGGCAGATCCACGTACAGCCTGTACATGTCGTAGGCAGTGCGCCCAGGGCGAACATCTGCGCGAGCGTCACGACTTGCCCTTTTCGCATATCCACCTCGAACTTCATCCCACTAGTCGCGCCAGAGGCAGCGGGAGCACGACGGAGCAGCGTCGTCTGGCCGCCAGGCTGCTCGTTGAGAACCCACTCAACGTCGCGCCAGCCGAGCCATTTCGTCTTCTCTCTCCAAGACAAAAAACTCAGCGAATTGTCGGTCCTGGCGAACTGGGAATGCCAATCGAGGATGAATCACGCAATTCTGCTGCACACGCGTCCAGCCAGAGTGCCGAACAACTCTGACCTCCCCGTCGTGCTTGTTGAACAAGTGCTTCAAGAATTCGGGGATGCTGTTGATTCCGAACACCTGGCGCAGAGCACGCCACCCGGGATGATCCCGCGGCAGGCACTCCACACGCGGCGCGCCAGAGGCAGCGGGCATCAAGTTGGGCCAGGCGTTGCAAAACCAAAAATTATTCGCCTCACCCAAAGAAGTACCTTCCCAGGCTTTGGTCAGCTGGCCGAGGTAATGCATCTTCTGTGACGCCCAGGCGCTCACAATGTCCCACCTTTGCCCTTTGTAGTCGTCGCGGCCGTTCCAGTTGGGGATGCCTGCCATCACCTCATTAGGGTGAGGAGTGTGGTCGCACTTTTCTATCATTTCCTGGATGAGTCGGGAAAAGCCTAGGCGCCGCTCCTTCACCAGGCGTGGCTCGCACTGCCACGTTATTGTCTCCCGCGGCCAGCCCGAATAAGCATTGACATGAATCTGCCTGGAACGGGCAGTGCCAGCGGCAGCCGAGGAGCCACGCAATGCGAATGCGGCAGAGGCAGCTGAGGCACCACGACGCACTGCGCCAGAGGCAACACCCGGCTCAGCTGCCGGGGCAACGTCACCCGATGCGTCACTCGAACTGTCGCGGTCGTCGTCACTGCTGTCGTCCTCGTCGGACAGTGACGAGCGCCCCGTGTCCTCCGCGTCGCCGTCCTGCTTCCGTCCTCGCCGGACAGTGACACTAGGCGCCCCGCGCCCATCGCGTCGCCCGCGCGCGGAGGAAGCACCATCTCCCGCTGCGCTTCCTCGTCAAGTGGCGCCGCGAGCGCTACCGAGGCAGCGGGCGCGCCAGAGGCAGCGTCGTCTTCGCTGACCCGCGTCTCATCCTCGCGGCAGGGAAAGACACATTCCACATCCAGCTCCGTGATGTCGAAAAACACTTGCCGCGTAGCCCTGATGTTGCCAGCTGTCCTTGCAGCCGCGCACGCCTTGGTTGGGGCCCACCAGATGCGCAACATATCCTTGTGAGTCTGTTTCGTGGAGAGACCCACTTTGAAGACCGTCCCACTACGAGCGAGACTGATTGTTAGGAAGAACTGGCTCTGGTTGCCCGCTACCGCTCGGCCTCGCGAGTCCTCTGGGCTGTCAACCCAGTTCTCGCAAAGGTGAGTGCCCACTGTGGACGCGGGAAAATGCGAGACAGCCAACTCGGCCATGCGACGCACATTTGTTGTGCTGCATCGTCGCGCAAGTGGCAGCGCGTGCGTGCACCGTCAATGCATCATCCTCGCCCCCCACTGGGGGCACTAATGTTTCACCTGGGCCAATTTCCTGGGAGAGAGGAATCAGGACATCTTCGCGAATGCACGTGTTGGCGACGATGCGCGAGCACACTCCTCCCGCAACTTGATCTTCGACTTTACAAAGGCCCCCCGATGGATCCTTCATCTGGAGAGCGACATAATTTCTGCACGGGTGGTCCTTACGCAACTGCTGCACGCGGTTTGCAATCTGGCCCGCCTCCTCAAAGTCGAGGCCAGGACCCCCGGCGCCAGAGGCAGCCGCAAGCGAGCCCCGCCCACGCTTCTGCATGCTGCCCCGCGCGCGGCGCCTCGGGCGCCAACGCCAGAGGCGTTGCTGAGCCGAAAAAGCTGCGATGGGCGACCGCGATGGCGGCTTCGAAGATGAGGGCGGCATGGGCACGTGGGTGAGCACGGAGAAGTCTAAGAGGTGAGGGCCACTTCGACTGTCTTGAAGCTGTCCTCTCCACTGCCCGTGCAAACATCCCACCCTCCCACCCGCAACTTGGTCGCATGACATCTTCAGACAAGACCGTGACGGTAGGTACTGCGTGGCACTTGGCCACGACACCGATGCCGACGACGACAGCGACATCGACGACGACGGCGCCGCCGACAGCGACTGCGACGACACCGACGACGTCTCCGATGTTTTCGACGACGACAACGACGACGACGACACCGACGACGACGACAACGACGCCGACGACGACGACGAAGACGACGACGACGTCGCCAACGGAGACGACGACGAGGGAGGAGAAAAAACGACGACGGCGACAACGACGACAACGACGATGGAGGAGGGAAGACGGCGACGACGCCAACGACGAAGAAGGAGGAAGGACGGCGACGCCGACGACGACAACGACGAGGGAGGAGGGAAGACGACGACGATGACAACGACGACGAAGACGACGACGACGGCGACGAAATAGGAGGGACGACGACGAGACGCCGACGACGGACGACGACGACGAGGGAGGAGGATAACGACGAGGGAGGAGTGAAGACCGACGACGACGACGACGACGACGGCGACGAAATAGGAGGGACAACGACGAGACGCCGACGAAGACAACGAGGGAGGAAGGACGACCACGGCGACAACGACGACGGAAACGACGACGACGCCAAAGACGACGAGGAAAGACAGAAGACGACGACGGCGACGACGACGACGACGACGAGGGAGGAGGGAGGACGACGACGACGACGACGACGCAAGAGCGCGCGCGCAATTTTGTTGAAAACCCGTGTTGCGAAACCTTGTGTTGTTGTATGTTTATTGGACGCACGATTTCCACATTCTTCCGAAACCGAAAGTGTTTGAAGGATTTCGGCATGCGCCCGCGACGACGCGCGCGTCTGGACTTCGCCCCATTTTTGGAAGAGGATTCTCGCGACGGCACACGCGCAAGACGTTCGACAGATTTCGACATGCGCGCGCGAAGCCCGTTTGGTAGCATGTTGTAAAAATCTTGGAAAACCTACGGTTTTCTCAAGATTTCGCAAGAGCTCGCGCGTAATTTTATAAATATATATATACATATATATATATATATATATATTGTTTTTTTTTTTTTTTTTTTTAAAAAAAAAAAAAAAAAAAAAAAAAAAAAAAAAAAAAAAAAAAAACGTTGCGAAACCATGTGTTTTTATATGTGTTTGGGAAATTCAATTTTGAAATCTCTCCGGAAACTAGAGTTTTTAAGGATTTCGGCATGCGCGCGCCACGACGCGCGCGTGTGCACTTCGTCCTCTTTTTTTTGCAATGGATTCGTTGAGAAGTGATATGTTAAAACAAAACATGTCACCGCATAGTGTTTTTTTTACCAGGGAACCGCAGGGGGGGGAACCCTGCTTGGCTGGGATGGTACGAATTCATATTTAGGATGGACATGTGGTCAGAATCATATGTAATTTACAGCACGGGCGGGGGGGCCGATAAGTCCGGGGGGGGGGGGTAGAATCTAGGAGTCTTTTAGAAAGGAGAATCAAGGGTAGCGCGAGGAGGGGTTGAAGCTGAGCACGAAGATGATCTCGGAGCAGAGGGCGACGGTGAGGAAGATCAGGGCGGGATTGCAGAGAGCGAGGGCGAGGTCGGAAGCTGGGCCAGCATCGAATGGTAGCTCGCACGATGGTTGAGAGGAGCAGTGGCTTCTTTATCATGAGATGGCGCAGAAGATGAGTCACTCTTGCCATCTACGCAAGGACCACAGGGCGCCAGAGGCAGCCACACAGTTGCGCCAGAGGCAGCAACCGTCAGCACCACATGCGCATGAGAATGAAGCGCTCCGCACTGTCAACGCGAGGACGGTGCAAACACCCTCCTTCGCGGAAGTGCTTAGCCATGGCGTCGACGTGATCGCGGTTCAGCTCCAACTTGAGCGCGCGCCGCACGATCGCCATGGACAGAAGTTCCAGGTCTGCAGGAAGAGGCCGCGAAGCGAGTTGATCACAGAGATCCATTGCGCAGCCGAGAGCGCGATACATAGTTCCGCTTGACACGCCAGAGGCAGCGAGTGCTAAGCGCGGCACGTCTGCGAGGAACACGCACTGCACGCGGCAGTGGACGGGCCCCCAGCTCTGGGAGCCCCACCCCTGCACGAGAGACATTGTTTTGCGCTGCTCACTGCGTGAGCTCCGAGAAAACCGCGCCCGCGCAATAAACGGCAAGAACCCCAGGATGCCACGGAAGCACCTGCCCCACACGACCTGCCAGTTCAGATCCGGACGCGGCCGCTGCAGAACCCCAACACGCCAGCGCGGGTGCCGCAGAACCCCAACGCGCCAGCGCGGGCGCTTTGTAGCAGGACCAGCAGGAGCACCAGCGGGACTGGCGATGCCAGAGAAAGCCTGAGAATCTGCGGCGGCATCAAGCCCCGAGGAGCCAGCGGAAGGAGAACCACTGCGAATGGCGGTGCCAGAGGAAGCCTCAGGATCTGCCGCGGCGACATCAACCCCCGAGGAGCCATCAGAAGGACAACCAGCGGACGAGGCGGCGCCAGAGGCAGCCTGAGAATCTGCGGCGGCAGGAGGTCCCGAGGAACCACCCTGCTTCAATCCTACTCTCACACGTGCTGGAACCTCAGCAAAAAGATTACCCAAGTCACCCAAGACAGCAACAGGGGGCGCTGGCCCTGGCATCGCTTCACCTTGGATCACCCCCATGTCGCTCTGGGAAAGGCAGAGGAAGCAAATGAGATCATCTAGTTCATGCGCGGCGCCAGAGGCAGCCCGCAAATCCTGAGAGATAAGTGTGCAAATCTGCACGGCGTCCTCGTATCCGATATACCCGACAGCCTCGATCCCTTTCTCAAGGCCAGAGCCCATGCCAGCAAGCAAAAGCCAATCCCTCTCGGAGAAACTCCGTCGGACATCTTCTGCCCTGAAAAGCCATCGCAAGAACGCTGTGCGCGCATGCGTCGCATGCGACCACAGCCCCACCGCGCGCAGATGCACTTCGTTTTCGACGTACGCTGCCCCAGAGGCAGCGGGCGCGCCAGACATAGCAAAGGATGCCGCTACAAGTTCGGTGGCAACCTCCAAACGGCCAGCGCGCAAGTCGTCCATGAGGATTTGGAACTCACACTGCCCTGTCCTCCTCTTGGCCGGATTCATCACGAGGCGATAAGTGAAGAAACCAGCGGCCGCGCCGCCCAAAGCGCGCACCTTCGATCGCGGTACGAGCTCCACGGTGGCCTCGCGGCGATTGGCAGCGACCGCAAAATCCTTGGGTTGCACAATCGCCATGGCCTCCTGCCACGCGCGCTCGTACAAGGCTGCGCGCCCCTGTGCGTCGGCCGCCAGCAGTTCGCCCCTGTGGCGAAGCACATAGTGGAGGATGCGCGCGGGCGCCCACTTCCAGTAGCAGATGAACACCACGCAGAGAACCTCCACACGCAACGCGCCACAGGCAGCGAAGTGTTCTCGCAGCAAAATGCCTGCCGCAATGCCCATGCGAACGTCGCGCCTGTGACATAGCGAAGCGACGCACCCGCCCTGAACGAAATCACCGAAGCATTTTGCGACGTCCCCGAGGAGATTCTGCAGCCGCTTCATCTTAAAGTGATGCCCCGTACGTCCTGGGCGGAACTCTCCACAATCACGATTCCTACAAGAACCATCATGATCGCGGGAACGTTGCTTGCAGGTCCGGCAAACCTTCCCCATCGGCAACAAAGTCAGCAATGCGCCAGAAGCAGCAGGCGCGCAAGAGGCAGCGCCTCACTTTAGTTTTTGGGTTATCGCCTCCAGAAGAAGGAATCGCCTGGCCCATGCGCGCGGGCGGTTGCCTTAAGCCCAGAACTGCCGCAGTCTGATCCTCTCTGCCCTGCTGCTGCTGCGGCTGCTGCTTCTGCTGCGGGCGCTGGTCCTGCTGCTGCTGGTGCTGGTGCTGCTTCTCCTCGTCCTGCTCCTCTTCGCCCTGCCCCCCCTTGTCCTCCTCCTTCTGCCCCCGCCTCCTCCTCGTCGATCTTGTCCTGCTCCAATCTTGGGAAAAAAACTGCAGGCCCACTTATCATTTTTATTTATATATGTATATATATACATATATATATATGTATATTATTTATATATATATATAACGAGGCCCACTTTTTTTTGGGGGGGGGAAATCCTGTTTTAAATGGAACTACTACAGACGCGCCCCAACTGCGAGGAAAAACAATCCGGGGACAATGCGTTTGCAATATATATATATATATATATATATATATATATATATATATATACATATACACACCCAATGTCGAACAAAAAAGAGATGCAAGTTTTCAAATAAATACATTGCTTAACATGCGAGGCCCACTTTTCACATTAAAAATGATGCGCAATATTTCGAAAACCATATAATTGAGAGGCAGAAAGAACAGTATTAAAACATTTATATATATATATATAACGATGGCAAACTTTGGCGGAATCAAAGAACACTTGGCGGGCACCGCGAAGGGCACCTCGCGCTTGCGCGGCCCCAGAAAGCTGAGCTCGACGTAGCGCTTCGCTTGGCGCGCGACTCCATGACGTGACCCTGCTGCGTCGACGCGCGATCCGTCTCGACGCATGGTCCTTACGCAACCCTCTCCACTATTTCATTCTTTCGTTGTTTTCCACCTCGCAACTTTATTTTTGTCTTCAAAATTTGTTCAATAAAGTTGCGGCAGCGACACTTGTAGTTTTTTCCCGCGAATTTGTTCCACCCGACAACTTCATGATGTTTAAAAACTTTTTCAGTTAAATTAGTGGCAGTGGCAACTTTATTTTTCCATTTTTTTCCTACCCGACAACCTTATTGTTCTTGATTGTTTCGAATAAACTGGGCGACAGCGATAACTTTATTGCACTGTTTTTTTTATATTTTCTTCAAACAGAATGAAAGCAGCGACTACTTTATTTGGTTTATATATATATATATATATATATCAATATTAATCTTTTATTATATTTATATATTAATATAATCCCCCAAAAACAACTTTTTTTTGCCTCAAAAACAGTTTTATAATATTGGCGGCAGCGACAACTTTATTTCTTTCAAAATTTTTGCCCCACCCGACAACCTTATGTTTTCAAACCTTTTCAATAAAATTAGTGGCAGCGACAACCTTATTTTCATTCAAAAATTTTTCCCCCCCGACAACTTCGGGCCGAGATGCGACAACTCAGTTGGCCAACATACCGATTCCGCGTTCGCTTATGTCACCTTTTTTCAGAACCGGGTGAAGTAACGCGAAATCCTTATGTTGGGACGTTGGTTCGTGGCCACATATTGATTTTTAATGAGGCCCACAACTCAAGAGCCCAACATACAGATTTCGTGTTCGCTTATTTCAGCCGGGCTTGAAATTTGATGAAATAAGATATGACCCTCATTTTCCTCTTCCACAACATCCACCCGACAACTTTATTTGTTTTCAAATTTGTTCAATAAAATTAGTGGCAGCGACAACTTTGTTGTTTTCAAAATTTGCTACGCCCGGCAATTTTGTCTCAAAATTATTTCAATAAAATTATTGGCAGCGACAACTTTATTTTTCATTTTTTCACCCGACAACTTCATTTTTCTGTTTTCAAAATTTTTCACTAAAATTATTGGCAGCGACAACTTTATCGTTTTCAATTGTTTACACCCGACAACTTTCTTTTTCATTTTTCTATAAAAATAATGGCAGCGACAACTTCACGTTGTTTTTCCCCTAATTTTGCCTACACCAGACAGCCTTATTTTTTTCAAACTTTTTCAATAGAATTAGCGGCAGCGACAACTTTATTGGTTTTTTTTTTGCAATCTTTTTACGCCCGACAACTTTATTGTTTCAAATCTTTTCAATAGAATTAGTGGCAGCGACAACTTTATTTTTTTATTTGCTTACACCCGACAACTTATATATATATATATATATACTCAATGAAATTAGCGCCAGCGACAACGCTATGCATTTTTCCCCCAAAAGTTGGTTTGCACCCGGCAGCTTTATGTTTTCAAAAGTTTTCAATAAAATTAGTGGCAGCGACAACTGCATTCCCCCCCCAAAAAAAAACTACCACTTTATTTGTGCTTGTTTTCAAAATGTTTTTCCACCCGACAACTTTTTTCATTTTTTTTTTGTAAAAAAATGTCGCAGCGACAACGTTATTCTTTGCGCAGTTTATTTTCAACCGACAATTCTATTGTTTTGCAGAACAAATCGTCGCATCGACAGCCCCTTTTTAAAACAAGTTCTCCGATAAATTTGCCGCAGGGGTATTTTTTTACGAGGCGGAGACAGCACCGTTGCAACATCTTTTCCGCTGAGCGCTGTCTCCACTTGGTTCAATGTGTCCTCGGCTTCGCCTGTTGCCTCTGCCACCTGGCGCCGCACCACCATCGCCGCAAGGGGCCTCCATACATTTTCAACTTTATGTATTATTTACATTGGGCACCAATACATGTTGTTCAATTCTTTCTCCCGCAATCGTTCTCCAACTTTGCCTTAAAATCTTGCCAGAAGCCGCAATTTTGCCTTGTGCTCTTTCTATAATAAATCCCAAAATATGTCTTAAAATGCTTCCTTCAATGAATTTTAACATTTTTCCTCGCCGCATTTTTCACAAAATCCACTATTCCTCGCCGCATTTTTCACAATTTTCACAACGCAACTTCATTCTGTTGCAGAAGTTTTTTTTATATAAAAAAAGTATCTCGCAACTTTATATCTGTCGAAGTATTTTATTTTGTCATCGCAATTTTATTAGTTTCCAAATTTCTGGCGGCTCGCAAATTTCCTTTTGCTTAAGAAAAATTGCGTATCACAGCTTGTTTTATTTTTGAAATTGGGCCTCCAATTCCTTTTTTTAAAGTTGGCCTCAACTCTTTATATATTTCAACATTGGACCTGCCATGCTTTCCTTCCAAATAGGGCCTCGCAGTTTTCTTGTTTTTATTGCAAAAAAAACTTGGGTCTGAAACAATTTGTTGGTTCAAATGGCATCTCGCAACTTTCTTGCTTTCAAAATTAATCCCCGAGACTTTTTTTTGGTTTCGCAGTTGAGCATCGCAATTTCGTCGTTCGGAAATTTGGCGCTCACAGATCGATGAGGAGAGGCAGGGGGAGACGCAGGAACGGGAGGTGGAGCAACATGCGGCAGCAGCAGCAGCAACAGCTGGCAGGACCTGCTGGAAGGCAACAGCTTGCGATGGCGAGGGCGCTGGGGATGACGAGGAAAACACCTGTCGCCTCAGGTTCGCAAGCGCGCCCCGTCATTGCTGAGAACCCTCGGACCTACCTCATTCCAAGTCCTGCGAACGGAGAGAGCCCAGTTCACCACGCCCAAGAGCCTGCCAAAGGAAACGCCGCCCAAGGCAGGCTCACCGGCAGCCCCCACGACGATCTCACTTGCAGGCGCGCGCTCGATACGCCGCAATGCGCCGCGCACAGATGGGCACTCCACGTCCAGCCTCTCCTCCACGAAGAGCTTCGCCTTCCCTTCGCATGCCCTGGTATGTCTGATACATTGGCTCTGCAATGCACGCGCTGGGGCGTAACTGACAGCAGACAGTTGAGCACTGGCGACGACGTCCAAGCCCGGCGCCACGATGCACAGGAACGATACTGCCACGTCCGCATCAGCAGCCAGCGCCGCCGCGTCGTGAAGAACGGCGAGATCCCTGACAACAACCAAAGAAACGCCCGCCGCGCATCTGTGAGTCCCCTTCACTTCTCTGGAGCCCCGCAGTCGCAAATCACTAATGGCGCCAGAGGCAGCGAGCACCGCCACCTGGCTGCGCGGTGAAGGGCCCTGGGGCGCCAAACGAGCACCCCGCTTGGCGGCGAGGTTAACGCCCGGAGGCTGCAGGAAAGCGCCACCTGGCGCGGCCCGAACCTGCGTCACGCCAGGGATGTTGCTCGCAGATCGGTCGTGAAACTTCTGCGAAGCATCGTTCCAGCGGGTGCTCCGATCCGCGCCTGCGCCAGGACGCAGCGCTGCGCTGGGGGCGCGCGCTTGCACTGCACGGCCAAGCGGGCAGCAGCGAGAACGCCAAGACTAGCGCGGCGCAGGGGGCCTCGTTTTTCGGCCCTCTTGAGACTGGCCGCGCGCGTAGCGGCGGGATTGTAATGCCCGCAGCGCGCGCCGTAGAGCTGCCGCCAGAGGCAGGCACACTTTCTAGAAAAGGGGGCGAGCTCTGCTCTGGACGACGAAGCGAAATCCTCGAACTCAGCGACGGTTCGCGGACCACTGAGCTTCACGATCAGGGCATCGTCGAGGAAATCATGGTTTGACGTGCGATGCTCCGCTTGCTCGTTCCGCAGGAACGCGACATCGCGCTCCACTGCGCACTCGCCGTCCTCTATGGAAATAAAAAACGGATGAGCTTGCGGAGGACACTGGACGCATTTACCAAACGCTTCGGACACGCCAGGTGCCAGAACGCATCGTCGAGCAAACGAGCCCACGCTTCCTGATTGGTTTTCTCTGCTGGAGACTCGCCGGCAGAGAACTGCTCCAGCATGAAGGGGATGACGTCGCGGTACTGGAACTGGGCCGCCACCTCGTCGCAACCGAGCGCCGCGGCTACTCTGCTCACGCCTCGGAGAATGAACTTCCGCGTCTGCAGAGAGGGCAGGTCCCCGGATCCTTCCCGAATGAGACGGCGATCGAACGTCGATAATGCCGAGCGGATGTCATTTTAAGGAAAATCTGCAAGAAGACGATCTTTCGTCAAACAGGCCGCATTCCGCACTCTCTCGAGCAACTCTGCCCTGTGGGCGCCCAGAGGATCACCCCAGAGTAACACGGGATTCCCAGCAGCCAAGAAACTATACCCCCCCGAAGGTTTGACATCACGGTGGTGGCGATGAAGCGGAGCGCCTCCCCGTGCGCACCCGCTGACGGCAGCGGTTCGGCGCTCGCGGCGGCGGCGCCAGAGGCAGCCTGCATGGCGGCGGCGGCGCCAGGGGCAGCCTGCCTGAGGATCTGAAACACGCGCCCGTCCTTGAAGACAGCGCCCAATGTCTCCACCATGCAATCGATCTGCAAACGCGATGAAGCGACGTCGTGGTTGGCAACGTCGAACAAACGCAAAAACCAATTGCAAATGATGCCCCAATCCGCGGACACGCCGACAGCCATGCAAAACTTAGTATCTAATTCTCTCAGTAAAGTCAGGGCCCGCTCACGCTTTTCGCTCTCGCGACGTCTGCCCGATGATATGTGCGCCAGCAAAGTCGCAACTGGCAACAACATCAGCGCAATCTCCCCGACTGGCCCCGCCGCGGAATCGAATCGCTGCTTGGCGAACGAAAGATCCCGCACGACTGCTTCCAAAGGCTTGCGACCAAGGCCAGCTTGCGCCACAGGCGCGATGTTATCCTCTTGGATGGCCACGAACAAGTCTCTCCACTTGTCGCTGTTCATGATGTCTGGCGCCAGGGCGTGCCGGTCATCGAAAAGCTCGCGCCGCACCTCGCCGAACACCTCGTCGCAGTGCAAGGATTGGCTCGCGATGCGCATGGCATGCGCGGGGCCCCGAATCACTATCAGGAGGTTCGGGAAGAGCTCCCGGACAGCGAGAAACACTGCTCGTCGTTCCTTCGCGGCACCATCTGCTGCAATACTGGTGACGGTCGCCAAGACGTGCGACTTCAGCGACTCATCGCACGCCAGAGGCAGTGCTTTTCTTCGGCCCCGCCCCAGTGGCGCGCAGAACTTCGTGAAACAACTGCCGAGCTGATTGGCGGCGAACGCGGCGCGGTCTTCCTCGAACTCAGCTGCGCGACTCTTCCTGCAATCGAGGACGCCGAGCACGCCAGAGCGGCAATAGCCTGAAGCCCCCACGTTCTGAGCGACGCCGCCTCCGACAGGGGCGGGCACGTCAGCGCGAGATCTAACGATCTTGCGGTGCTTCGACTCGTCCAAGGATAAAGATATCGATGTGGCGTTCCGCAGCACCTCACGAGCTTCCACGCGAAGTACCTCCGCCATCACGCAAAGCTGCTTGCGCCTGCGTTTCCGAGTTCTCTCTTCCGTCGGATCGTCCGTGGAGAACTGCCCCCGCCGCACGCGAGCGCACATGCGCAGAGAAGACGTCTCAGAGAGCATCGCCCAGGCATCCCTCCATTCCGCGGCCGACGGCGCATTTCCCCGCAGAATCGCAGCGTCTGCCGCCGCCATGCCCCCCATCTTTTCTGATAGAGGAACATCTTCGCACGCCAGAGGCAGTGACTTAGGGGAGAATTACGCGCAGAATCTTTCAACTTGCTTCACTCCCGCTGCGTGTCGATGCGCTGGTGACCTCTGGTGCTGTTCCACTTGGAATCTCGCGTGGAAGCCTGTCGCAGGGCGGACCTCGAAAGAAGCAAACTTGGAGAACCTGCCGTCAGAACTTGTCCGCCCTGCGGCCGCAGCCTTCGCCCGCACTCGGCAACCCAACCCCCACTGACCACGATGCTCGCCTGCAGCCAGCCACGACGAACCATTCGGCAAGAGAGATAGCGCCGTGCACGTTTTGCGCCGTCGGTGAACATCGCATCTGATACAGAACGCCTTGTTGCAAAGAGAATGCTTGGCAAAGTGCTGCTCATCCGAGTCGGTTACTGTCCGACTCGTTCTCGCATCGGTCACGCCCTCGCGAGACTGAACCGCCCTGCGTTTTCTCCGCGCCGCGCCAGAGGCAGCAGCACCCTTGCCAGATGCGCCAGAGGCAACACCACCCCTTCCACGACGATGCGCTAGAGGCAGTGCCGCCCTCGCCACTGGCAGATATTTCTTCTCGGCGCTGGACGCTCCGCCGCTGCGGGTTTGCCCGCAATGTCCGCGCGACGGCAACGACTGCCTCGCACTCGCTGCTGCCAGTTTTTCTTGTAGATAACCCCCGAATTGAAAATAAAGCGGCACGCGCATCACCCAGCACAGCGCCCCCGATCGCGGCGCGCCCCAGATGCGCGACGCTCGGCTTGTGCCAAACCGGCCATGGGGCAACAGCGAGCTCGACGAAGCGCGACGATGGCGATGACGGCGGCGGCGCTGACCAGGGAAAACTTCCACGCGACCGTGAGAAATAAACACGACAGGAGAAAACCAAACGAGCCATGGAAAAACTAAACACGACCAGGAGACAACTAAACACTGCCAGGAGAAAACGCCCTGGGAAAACTGCACAAAACTCCATGAAAACTACATATAACCAGCAAAAAAAAAAACGATACCCTCGGAAAACTAAACACGACCCTAGCAACAAGAAACGAGACCCTCGGAAAACGAAACAAGGCCCTAGCAAAACTAAACGAGACCTTAGGAAAACGAAACACGACCCTACCAAAACTAAACGAGACCAAAGGAAAACTAAGCAAGACCCAAGCAAACGAGACCCTAGGACAACTAAACAGGACCGTGCCAAAACTAAACGAGACCGTAGGAAAACTAAACAGGACCCTACAAAAACTGAACGAGACCCTAGGACAACTAAACATGACCTTACAAAAACTGAAGGCGACCCTGGGAAAAATAAACAAGACCCTGGCAAAACTAAACGAGACCCTAGGAAAACTAAACAGGACCCTACCAAAACTAAACGAGACCCTGGGAAAACTAAACAGGACCCTACCAAAACTGAACGAGATCATCGGAAAAACTAAACAGGACCCTACCCAAACTAAACGAAATGATCTCGTTCAGTTGTGGTAGGGTCATGTTTAATTTTCCGATGTTCTCGATCAGTTGTGGTAGGGTCCTCTTTAGTTTTCCCAGGGTCTCGTTTAGTTGTGGCAGGCTCCTGTTTAGTTTTCCTAGGGTCTCGTTTAGTTTTGCCAGGGTCTTGTTTAGTTGTCCTAGGGTCTCCTTCAGTTTTTTGCAAGGTCATGTTTAATTGTCCTACGGTCTCGTTTAGTGTTGGTAGGGTCCTGCTTAGTTGTCCTACGGTCTCGCTTAGTTGTGGCACGGTCCTTTTTAGTTGTCCTAGGGTCGCGTTTAGTTGTGCTTGGGTCTTGCTTAGTTTTCCTTTGGTCTCGTTTAATTTTGGTAGGGTCGTGTTTCGTTTTCCTCAGGTCTCGTTTATTTTTGCCGGGGCCTCGTTTTCCTAGGGTCTCGCTTATTGTTGCTAGGGTCATGTTTAGTTTTCCAAAGGTCTCGTTTAGTTTTGCTGGTTCTATGAAGTTTTCAATGGGTTTTGTGCAGTTTTCCTAGGGCCTTGTGTAGTTGCCCCTCCTCCTTTCTCCACCTCGTTCCTCTTCCTCCTACTCCCATGCGGTGTCTTTGGCCACATGCGACTGGCCAGCCGGGACGCTCATGCGGCGCCACTTCCCGTGGCAGGGCGCGCGCCAACCAACGGCGCCAAAAGGCTCAAAAGGAACCCAGCGGGAAAACGTGCCTCTACGACCGAGCTAGTCTCGAAGCAAGGCGATCTGGCGAATCTTGCTCGTCGCCCCCCAGCGGCCCCTGTCGGGCCAACAGCGGGTCTGCGTCATTGTCCGCATGTCCGCACACCACTTGCGGGTGCCACCCTTGTCAGCGTAGCAGACGATGGGCATAGGGTGAGCAGGACCTGGGGGGACCGCGTAGTAGTCACGCATCGCAACATTTAGTTTCTGGCAAATGTCTGAGCCCATGTCGATCCAGGCGAACTTCCTGGCGACGCTCATCTCTTGCCAATGCCAGATCGCCGAGTTGCGCCAGAGGCAGCGCCACCTTCTGCGCCAGAGGCAGCGTCTGCCACTGCCTTCTTCTGCTCCTTCGCCCCCCCCCCCCCCCTCCTGCTCGCCACCTTCGGCGCCAGAGGCAGCCCCGCCTTCTGCGCCAGAGGCAGCGTCTTCCACTGCCTGCTCCTGCTCCTTCTGCTCCTCCGCCTGCTGCTGCGGCATCCTGCTGATGTGGCATTCTGCTCGTTGTTGATGATGGGCTCCTCCTTCGGCTCCTTGATCAAAGACGCCGAGTACTGCGTTGCAGTACTCTGCGTCTTGAAGGGCCATAGCTTGGAAGAGCGTCGGGAAGGAGTCGCGAAGGGCGTCGGGAAGGTCTTGGGATCAAATTGCTACGGATGGTGCCCTTCGGCCGTTTTCAGGTCACCTGAACTTCGCACTTGCACTAAGCTGGCATCCGACGCTAGCGTTGCCAGCAGAGGAACAAGCACCAACAACACCTCATGGACAGTCCGAGGACCACAGGGCACTTTGGAAATTGAGGGCAGATCACAGTCTTCCTCGGAATCGGGGAATCGGGGAGTCGGTCGGGGAGTCGGGGGTCGGGGAGACTGAGTCTGAGAGTCGGGGAGTCGTCGGGAAGTCGTCGGAGAGGCGGCGAGTCGTCGGGGACGATACTACTTTTGCCGAACCGAGACTTCCGCGCGCGGCGGCCAAAAGTCAGAGTCAAACCAGGACGAGGAAGACCAGCACGACATGCGCATGAGAATGAAACGCCCCGCACTGGCAACGCAAACACGGTGCAAACACCCTCCTTCGCAACAACCTTCATGCGAGAATTTACCCCTCAGAGCCGACGCCGCCAGGCCCCTCTCGGAAGCGAGTGTTCGAGAGACCACTCGCGTGGCCAGGGGCGCGCCAGAGGCAGCGTCGTGGCACGCCAGTGGCAGTGCGTCGCCTACTCTTCGTCATCCTCGTCCTCCCCCCCTCGTCCCCGCCGACCAGCGGCATCAGCAGACGTTTCGCCTCCATCATGGTTCCGCTGAAATACGTGCTAACTTTCTCGACGAAGTCGGCGTCGCCGCCCACTTGATGCGCGCGCCCCTCCTCGTGGCCCGCCTTGTACATCGCGCACCTGCCCGCGATGGAGTCGAGCCAGTCCCGATGGTCATCGTTGCAAGCGACGCCTTCGCACTCCATTGCGCCAGCGGCAGCAGCAGCCAAGGCGCCAGAGCCTGGAGTGAAGTCCACGATGTGGGTCACGCTGTGGTGCCCAATGATCGTCTGCCACAGGCTGATGGGCTTCACCTCGTTAAACGAGAACGGGTGGCCCTTCGAATCGATGTCTGCCTGCAGGCGCGGAATCCTGGCGCCGTCAACGCTAGCGCAAGATGCAGCTCCCAGGATGCTCGCCTTGGTCTCGTAGCTCAGGCGAGGGAGCTCGGAAAGACGCCGCATTGTGGCGCCAGAATACGTCGTGTCTGCGGTCGAGGACTCGCCGCGCGCGTTGAACTCGGAACGGTGCACCACCTTCCGCGGGCCCTTGACTGGCATCGAGAAGATCGCAGTCTCCCTGTTGTTCTTGGTGTAGCTGTGCGCCCTGGCCGGGGACCGCGGATCCTCCTTCTTGTTTGGCTGCTCGCACACGATCCAGCACTCAACGAACGCGTGGGAACCTCCCGACTCCAACTTGTCCTCGAGGGCCTCAATGACCCGGCGATTCGCGCGGCCCCTGCCGTCGAGGAAGACGAGGATGTCATCCTTCTGCCTCCTCTGCAAGAAGAACGCGATGACTCGCTTGAACTTCGCCTCGTCGCACGGCAACTGCTCGCAGAGCCTCGCCTTGACGCCTTGCTTGACGACGTTGGGCGGGAAGAGCTCCGCTGAGAGGGCGAACGCGCGAACGTCGGTGTTTTTCCTCGCGAAGCGGTGCCCCAAGCTGAGCGCATCCCACACGCTCTGCATCTGCCCCACTGAGTACTCCGCGCCAGAGGCAGCGCCGACAGATGGCAAACTGACGAACTTCACTCTTTTTTTTGCGAAGAAGCTCGAGCTGCTCCTGGAGTTTGGCGAGCTCTTGCCGTTGTTCTTCCCCGAGCTCGGACACCCCCAACAAGCCGAGACTTGCATCCAGCTCGGGGTCGGCGGGGATCGGCCCGCCCGCGCAGGCGGTCACGAAAGCGCGGCACTTGACACCCACCTCCTGGCTGGTCTCGGCGAGGTACGTGCGCCAGACGAACGCAGGCGCGCTGTTCTGCATCTCCTGCCTGGCAAGCTCGACGATTTCTGCGTCGAAAGCGCCCGACCACAGAGGCCACGCGACGTCGATCATCGCCTTCGACTTGCAATCCACGGCGTTCCGATACTCAGCCACGGGGAGCGCGAACAATATCTCCATCCCGTCGGCGCTGCCGCCCGGGTCGGACACGCGGTGCGAAGCCACGAGCCCATCCGCGCCAGAGGCAGCGAACCGCTGGAGGATCCGGAGAGGTGTTTTGAATGCGGCCATTTCGCGCCCATGTTCCTTGTGCACGAGAGAGGCCTCGTGGAAAATGTACTCGGCGAGCTCCTTTTTCTTGAAGAGCGCGTGGAGCATCCCTGGCGATTTACAATCGCGCCCGCAGACCCGGCTCACGGCCAGTTTCTCGTCCTTCGGGACGTCGCCCGCCAGGCGAGCCACGCGGAAAGTGTCCAGGATGAAAACGAACAATTCCCTGGCCTTGTCGTCAGAGACAGCCCTTTTGGAGCATGCGAAGCCGATCTTCATGAGAAGCGTAGGTTCGCGAAGCTCTGGGATATATGCTTCGGCCAGCGAGAAAGCCAAAGAGCAGGCGCTGTCGAGGACGGAAGTGCGCAAACCTTTCAGCGCCGCGGCAGTTGCGGCGGCGCGCGGTTTCCCTTTGAACTAGACGCCGTAGGCCTTCAGCGCAGCCCCCAGCCTCGCCACTGCTTCCGATCTGTCGAGACTGGCGCGCACGTTTGTCACGCGGCACGCTTTTTCTGCGAACCGCCAGAAGCTATCTGCGCCAGAGGCAGCACTCGCAATGAACATCTTCTCTCCGAAACTCAGGGCCGCCAAGTGGGCCGCGCTCGCACCGGGCAGCACGCGCATCCTGATGGGGACGGACAACGCGGCATTGAACAGATGCCACACGCGGTCCTCGCTGGACTCCTCGAGCGCCTCGCCCATGGCAGAATACCACGTGATCACCACCGCGCGGCCCGCAATCGTGGCCAGAGGCTCTGTCAAGCAAACTCCAGGCTTGCCAGGCTCAAGCGACATGAGCGTCGACCACCAAGGCGGGGAGAGGCACGTCGAAGGTCAGGCGCCGCGAGGGCGCGTGCTTGGAGGAGAGGAAGAACGTCTCCTCCGACCACGTGCTCATGGCACCCTCGAGCTGACTTACGGCGACGTCGTCGATGTCCGCGCAAACCGGGTCCAACATCCACAACGCCGCCGCTGCCTCGTACTCCTTGGCGGGGGAGAAGCTCGCAACCAGGTTGTCGAAGTCCATGACCTCGCGAAACGAAGCGAGGTTAGCGCCAGAGGCAGCATGAGCGATGGCCAACGGCGCAATCAAAGAACACTGGGCGGGCACCGCGAAGGACACCTCGCGCTTGCGCAGCTCCAGGAAGATGGCCAAAGCCTGGTCGACGTAGCCCTTCACTTAGCGCACCCAGTCCTTGACAGCACATTGCTGCGTCGACGCGCTCTCCATCTCGAGGAGCTGATTGATGTACAGCGGGGCAGGCGGCGCGCCAAAGGCGACGGCTGGCGGCGCGCCAGAGCCAGCGGCGGGCGACGCGCCAGAGGCAGCGGCTGGCGAGGCCGCAGCGGCTGGTGACGCGCCAGAGGCAGCGGCCGGAGAGGCCGCAGCGGCTGCGGCTGGTGACGCGCCAGAGGCAGCGGCTGGAGAGGCCGCAGCGGCTGGCGAGGCCGCAGCCGCCTTCTTCGCAGGCGACGCGGTCGCCAAGTCAGCTGCCCTCTTGCCCGCGGTGCTTCGGGGAGAGGCTGATGAGAGCCGACACAGCTGAGAGCCGACACAGCTGATGATGATGATGATCAAAGCCATCAGGGAGGCACACGAGAAGCTGAAAACGCACACCAACGAACGCCTACTTTCCCTAGGGTATCGTTTAGTCTTCCTGGGGTCATGTTTAGTTGTCCTACGGTCTTGTTCAGGTTTGCTAGGGTCCGGTTTAGTTTTCCTAGGGTCTCGCTTGGTTTGCTCGGGTCCTATTTGGTTTGCCCAGGGTCTCGTTTAGTTTTGGTAGGGTCCTGTTTACTTTTCCGAGGGTCTCGATTAGTTTTGGTAGGGGTTCTTTTTACTTTTCATAGGGTCTCGGTTAGTTTTGGTAGGGTCAAGTTTAGTTGTCCTATGGTCTCGTTTAATTTTGCTAGGGTCATGTTCATTGTTCCTAGGGTCTCGTTTAATTTTGGCGGGGTCCTGTTTAGTTGCCCTACGGTCTCGTTCAGTTTTGCTAGGGCCTTGTTTCGTAGTCCTAGGGTCTCGTTTAGTTGTGCTAGGGTCGTATAGTTTTCGGATGGTCTCGTTTAGTTTTGCTGGTCCTGTTTAGTTGTCCTAGGGTCTCGTTTAATGTTGGTAGGGTCCTGTTTAGTTTTCCTTGGGTCTCGTTTAGTTTTGCTAGGTTCCTGTTTAGTTTTCCGAAGGTTCCGCTCAATTGTGGTAGGGTCCTGGTTAGTATTCCTGGGGTCTCGTTTAGTTTTGCTCGGGTCCTGTTTAGTTCCCCAGGGTCTGGTTTAGTTCTGCTAGGGTCACGTTTAGTTGTCCCAAGGTCTTGTTTAGTTTTGCGAGGGTCATGTTGAGTTGTCATAGGGCCCCGTTTAGTTTTGGTAGGGTCATGTTTAATTGTCGTAATGGTATCGTTTACTTTTGCTGGGGTACGTGTAAATTTTCCCTGGGTCTCGTTTAGTTGTCCTATGGTCTTGTTTAGTTTCCCCAGGGTCTTGTTTAGTTTCCCCAGGGTCCTGTTTAATGTCCCTGCGGTCTCGTTTAGTTTTGCCAGGGTCCTGTTTAGTTGTCTTAGGGTCTCGTTTAATTGTGCCACGGTCCTGTTTTGTGTTCCTAGGGTCTCGTTTAGCGTTGGCAGGGCAATGTTGAAATGTCCTAGGGTCTCGTCTAATTGCGGCAAGATCATGTTTACTTTTCCTAGGGTCTCTTTTAGTTTTGGCAGGGTCATGTGTCATGTTCCCAGGGTCTCGTTTAGTTTTGCTAGGACCCCGTTAAGTGTTCCTAGAGTCTCGTTTAGTTGCGACAGTGTCCTGTTTAGTTGTCCTAGGGTCTCGTTTAGTTTTGCGAGGGTGCTGCTTATTTTCCCAATGATCTCGTTGAGTGTTACCAGGGTCATGTTTAGTTGTCCGAGGGTCTCGTTTGGTTGTTTTTTTTTACAAAAAAAAAACAACAAAAAACTGTCCTGATTAGTTTTCCCAGGGTCGCCTTTAGTGTTGGTAGGATCCTGTTTAATTTTCCCAGGGCCCCGTTTGCTGCTGCCACGGTCACGTTTAGTTTGCCTAGGGTCTCGCTTAGTTTTCCTAGGGTCATGTTTAGTTTTCCTATGGTCTCGTTTAATTGTGGCAGGGTCGTGGATAGTTTTCCTATGGTCTCGTTTAGTTGCGCTAGCGTCCTGTTTAGTTGCCCTAGGGTCTCGTTTAGTTTTCGCAAGATCCTGTTTAGTTTTCCTAGGGTCTCGCTTAGTGGTGCTAGGGTCTTGTTTATTGTGTCTAGGGTCTCGCTTAGTTTTGGCAAGGTCCTGCTTAAAAGTCCTAGGCGCTCGCTTAGTGTTGCTAGGGTCCCGTTTAGTTGCCCTAGGGTCTCCTTTATTTTTGGTGGGATCCTGTTCAGTTTTCCTAGGGTAACGTTTAATTTTGGTAGAGTGCTTAATTTTCGCGTGGTCTTGTTTAATTGTGGCAGGCTCCTGTTTAATTGTCCTACTGGGGTCTCGTTTAGTTGTGGTAGGGTCCTGTTTAGTGGTCCTCGGGTCTCGTTTAGTTTTGCCAGGGCCCAATGGTTCTAGGGTCTCGTTTACTTGTCCTACGGTCCTGCTTAGTTGTTCTAAGGTCTCGTTTGGTTTTGGTAAGGTCCTTTGTGGTTCCCAATGGTCTCGTTTAGTTTTGCTACGGTTATGTTTAACATTCCTACCGTGCCGTTTCGTGTTGGTCGGGTCCTGCTTAATTTTCCTATGGTCTTTGGTAAGGCCATGTATGGTTTGCTTATGGTCTCGTTTAGTTTTGGTAGGGTCCTGTCTACTTGTCCTAGGGTCTCGTTTAGTTTGGGTACTGTGTAAATGTCCCAGGGTCCCTTTAGTGTTGCTAGGGTCCTGTTCAATTTTCCTACGGTCTCGTTTACTTTTGGCAAAATCCTGTCTAATTGTCGCAAGGTCTCGTGTAATGTTGGTAGGTTCCTGTTTGGCTTTCCCACGGTCTCGTTTAGTTGTCCTTGGGTACCGTTTAGAATTGGAAGGGTATTGTTTAATTTGGTAGGGTCGTGTTTAGTTGTCCTAGGGTGCTCGTGCAGTTGTCCTGGGGTTTCGTTTCGCTTTGGCAGGGCCCTGTTTAGTTTTCCTAGGGTCTCGTTTAGTTGTGGCAGGGTCCTGCTTCGTTGTCCGAGGGTCTCGTTTAGCTTTGGCAGGACCTCGTTTAAGTTTAGTCAGGTCCTGTGTACTTGTCCTATGGTCTTGTTTAGTTTTCCGAGGGTCTCGTTTAGTTTTGCCAGGGTCCTGCTTAGTTGTCCGAGGGCCTCGATTAGTTCTACTTGGGTCTTGTTTAGTTGTCCTAGGGTGTCATGTAGTTTAGCCAGGGTCCTGTTTAGTTTTGGCAGGGTCCTGTTTAGTTGTCCAAGGGTCTCGTTTAGTTCTGCTAGGGTCACGTGTAGTTGTCCCAGGGTCTCGTTTAGTTTTGGTAGGGTTATGTTTAGTTGTCCTCGTGTCTTGTTTAGTTGTCCTAGGGTCTTGTCTAATTTCCCGAGGGTCTCGTTTAGTTTTGGCGGGGTCCTGTTTAGTTGTCCGAGGGTCTCATTTAGTGTTGGTAAGGTACTGTTTATTTTCCTAGGGTCTCGCTTGGTTTTCGTAGGGTCCTGTTTAGCGTTCCTAGGGTCTCGTTTAGTTTTGCCCGGGTCCTGCGTGATTGTCCTAGGGTCTCGCTTAGTTTTGCTAGGGTCATATTTAGTTTTCGGATGGTCTCGTTTATTTGTTGCATGGTCCTGTCCAGTTTTCCTAGGGTCTCGCTTAGTTTTGCTCAGGGAGGCTCTGGATTGAGATGATGTAGGTGGTCGTGATGACGATGGCCATGATGTCGGTGGTCATGATGTCAGGGGCCACGATGACGATGGTCATGATGTCGGTGGTCATGATGTCGCTGATTGTGCTGATGATGTGGGTGCCACCCACATCATGGCCACTGGCCATGAATGATGGCGCCTACTACGGTGGCGCCGATCTCGCAAGTGTCGCGGCGCGAGCTGCCGCGACGCCGCCTTGGCCTCGGAAGGCGCGCCAGAGGCAGCGGCGCGCCAGAGGCAGTGACTCGGCCACGCCAAAGGCCTAGGCAACTAGACTGAGGCCAGCAGGGACGGCGAGGCTGGCGCCGGCTGCTTTGCGCCAGCGGATGAAGGGGTGAATCCCTTCAGAGAAACCTTTCTTCCAAGCCACCGCGGACCAACCAATACAACCATCGAACGAGTTGAAACAAGTGCCACACTCCACGGCAAATCAGGTCGCCGCAGGTCGGCTTGACGCCGCGGGTCGGCATGCATAATACGCTCCACGGCATCGTAATGAGGCCGCCGTCATCGTGCAAATGCCAACGGTGGCCTCAATCGGAGTCGGACTCATGCACGGTCGCCGTCTTCAGAAGACGGCCGTCTCATTCACCATGGCCTTACTTGGCCTCCTCATCCACCATTGCCTCAATCGGGGATCGGACTCCAACACGGTCGACGTCGTCTCCCAAACCTCCTCGCACGTGTATTCCACTGTGTACTTGACGTCCAGCGGGCCCCTCGTCTTGGTGCCAGCCGAGTACTTGTTGGTGCGCGTCGACGTCAGGCCCTGGAAGATATCGCCAAGGCCGTCGGGGATCACCTCACCCTCCTTGAAAGTATACACGATGCACTTCCTGCGCTTCTCGTAGACGACCTTCGTCAGCTTACGCCGAGGCCGATTCCGACCCCCTCCCTCATCAGACTTTGCCGTTGCCATTGGCAGCTCAGCCTTTGGCGCCCCCCCCCAATGCCCGCAGGAGCCGCCGCTGAAGATCCCTCGCCGCCCAGAGGCAAGCGGTGGCGCGCTGTACGCGGCGGCAAAACTCAGGCCACGCGGCGCGCTGTCCTGGAGATCCCCCGGGTGGCACCACCATCCCCACGCCAGAGGCAGTGGCTCGGCACGCCAGAGGCAGCGGCAGGGCCTCGGGCGTCGCTCAAGCTGTCCTCCACCACCGTCACCATTGCATCTGCGGGCGGCGGCGTCTCCTGGGGCAGCTCCGGCGGCGATGGCGGCGGCGGACGCGGAGGAGTCCTGGGCTGCGCAGATATGGCCACGCTTGGAAGAGTTCACCGTGTAGAAATCAGCATGTATGAAGGAGCCTGAGTTTTGAACCACAATGGCGAATGATCTCAGGCGGGGCAGGGCACGAAGGGTGGGAAGCTACGCGGAGCTGCTTGAACGTCTTGCTCTGAAGCGCGTTGCCCATGCTCTGGGGGGC